AGCACACACATCGGTAGAAATCAAACTTAACAACAAAAAAGTAAATGTGAGGGTTGCAGAGATGACTCAGTTGTTATGATCAATGCTGCTCTTCCACGGACCCCAGTTTGATTTCCAGCACCCACAAGGGAGCTCACAATCAACTGTAACTCCAACCCTAGGAAATCCAATGTCCTCTTCTGGTCTCTGTGGATACTGTATGCACACGGTGCACAGACCTACATGTATGTAAAATATCTATATGCATAAAATAAAAAAATAAAAAGGTAAATGTCCTACAGACTGCATAAAAATCAAGGAATAACCAGGACCAGTGGTGCATGAGTGTAATTCCACTACTTGGGAGACTGAGACAAGAGGATTGCAAGTTTGAGACCAACTTACAAAACAAGACCTTTTATTTTTGAGACAGGGTTTCTCTCAGTGTAACAGCTCTTGCTGTCCTGGACTCACTTTGTAGATAAGGCTAGCCTTGAACTCACAGAGATCAGCCCTCTTCTGCCTCCTGAGTGCTGTGACTAAAGGCATATGCCATCCCAAATGGTGCAAGACTGAATTTGTTTTTTTTTTTTTTTTTTTGTTTTTGTTTTTAGAGACAGGGTTTCTCTGTGTAGCTTTGTAGACCAGGCTGGCCTGGAAGTCACAGAGATCTGAATGCTTCTGCCTCCTGAGTGCTAGGATTAAAGGCATGTGCCACCACCGCCCAGCTAGCAAGACCAAATCTTAAACTGCCAAACAAAACAAAATAAACCAAGTCAAACAAATGCATAAACAAAAAACCGGTTGGCAAGTGCAAACCATTGAAAGAAGCTATCAAACAGAAATTCAGGAACTGCCTATTGTCCTATAGGAAAAAGGGAGGAAGGCTCATAGTGATCAAAATAGAATCTCTTGTCTTCTCAGTAAATGGTTACTTGGGACTGATTAAATTTAACTTGGGATGGGGTAGAAAATAAAGCATTCCTTGTATGTGATCACTGTGGATGCAAGTTCAGTCTACCATATACAGAATAGCTTTGCTGGACAAGGGTGAGTGCTGTTTGGAGGTATGAGATTGTGCATAGAAAATAAAGTAATTCAGAATCTGGAGAAATGGCTCAGCCATTGAGGACACTTGCCAAGCACCTGAGTTTATTATCAGCACTGACCTGTTGGCTAATAACCACCCAATTCCAGAGAATCCGACACCCTCTTCTGGCCTCCATGGGTACCACATGCACATGGTGCCCATATAAACACATAAAATAAAAGTAAATTTCACAAAAAACTTTTTCTTGAAAAAAAAGAAAGGGAAGTGAAATCACATTCAGAGGCAAGCGTGAAATCTCATTTCAGATGTCAGTTCTCAGTCAGGTTGTGGTTGTCTCAGGACATTACTGGAGACTGAGGTGGGGAAGTGAGTAGTCATAGCGATGAACCAACAGCTCCATCCAAACTCGACTAAGAGGGAAAAGTAGAATGGGAAAAAGAGAACGCAGTGGGACTTGTGGATCAGCAGTCTCGGTGAGGCTGAAGAATTATAACAAATGGGGCACTAACAAGGGAATGAAAGTATAGGTGTCAGCTTGCAGAGTAGAGCATTACCCTTCATAGTGCACTTCAAAGAGGATGATTAGTGTGCACGTGGAACTTTGGTTGTTCCAGGGAGAAGGTTGTTGGAAATAAAAGATAAAAAGCTGAGACACCAAAGTACGGAGGAGGTTGTCAGCATGATTGTTGGATTCATTTATGGAGTTCAAAGACAGTGCAAGGAGTTGGAAAGGGCAAGGAAAAGGTTATATTGACTGGAAGGTCACATGGCAGCAATCAAGATGAGTGGGCAGTATATATGAATTGAAAGAGACCTGTGCAGGATGAAGAGAGAAAATCATTAGGAAGTTCAAGGTTATCTCTAGGAACTCTACTACTGTACCTTTTTGACCAACCTTCCAATGACAGAATGAACCAGTCAAACCAAACCAATTAAAGGCCTTCCCACCAGGGGGCGCTACCAACACTGGGAAGAAAACCTCCTAGGGAGTCCCTGGAGGCCAGGAAAGTGTTTCAGTATGAGCTCTGAGGACCCCTAGGGCTCTTCTGATGTATTACAAGGAGCTTAAAAATGCCCTGACTCATCTGCAGTTTAGTTTTCTTAGTGTGTGTAAATAATTATTGGTTTTGTTTTAAGACAGGATTTTGCCTCTGTAGCCTAGACTGACCTTGAACTTGGAGTGATCCTCCTCCGTCAGCCTCCCAAGTATTGGTATGAACTATTATGTCTGTTTTTTTAGCTACTTTTCTAAATTCCTTTAACACAGTTACTGAGTCATTAGGAGAGTTTAGTTATGTATTTTAACAACAGAAGGAAACCTGTAATACTGATACTGTTACGTGCAACCTGATGGCATTTTGTTCTAGGTAAAAGAAGGGTTCTTCATAACTGAGCGTTTTGAGAGTTGGTTAGTAGTACTCAGAGTTACAAGGTTGTTCCTAATTCACTTTCTGTAATCATGACATTGCAGCAGTGGAGAGGGGAACTGTAGGCTGGAGTCTGAGTTGTAGGGGTGTCATGATCAACACTGGAGTCTTGCCACACCAGAAACGGTTTGAAACACTGCAGATAAGCTCCCCCAGTTTTTTGTTATCACAGTTTTGGGAAGTCACAGTGATGCACAAGTGATACAGTGTAGGTGGATTTGTTTAGGTTGTGCTTTAAGAACAACCACTGAGGGCTGGAGAGGCACCTTTTCCAGAGGACCCAGGTTCAGTTCTCAGCACTGACTTGGAAGCCCACAACCATTTGTAACTCCAGTTTCAGGGGGCCCAGCGCTCCCTTGTGATCCCCACAGGCACTGTATGGTGCATATACTACACACATGCAAGCAAAACATTCAAACTTGTAAAATAAAAAAAATGTTTAAAGTAAAAAAGAACAAGCATCCTTGACTGTCAATAGTTTAATTCAAGAGATGTTATCTGTTCCGTGTGGGTGGATAGAAGGGTTCAGCGTACTGTGCTAACTCGAGGATCCAAGCGGATATACATTTCATGTTGACATGTATTTTCACTATCATAATCACTACTTGTTACTAATGCAAAAGCATTTGGAACCCTGAAAATGAATGCTTCAACTGGAAAACAATGCATACCACTTCTCAAATTTCATTGATTGAGTCAGTCACATGCCACCCCCAAGTTCAAGAGGTGTGCTTCTAATATAAGCCTAGATGCAAGTGAACTAGACTGTCTGGCATTAACAGTTATGTTTGGAGACCCTGAGAAAACCATGTCATCCTTTAGCCTCAGTTTCCCCTGCTGCAAATGATGTTATAAGGATTCCTCGTTGTAAGGTTAAACTAAGTATGTTTCTTATGGTTTCTAGGAGGCAGAGTGCTTTCATTCAACCAAAGCTTCCATCAACTGAGAAGCTTGGCTTCCCTAGTGGCAGCCGGTAGCAGTATGGTAGCTGTCCTTACAGGATGTCTGCAGAATGGCCTTTGTTCAGAAAATTACTTGCCAGCCCCTTTCTCTCTCTCACACATACACACTTGAGGCTTAGAACAGCCTTTCCTCTGTGAGCATACCATGATTGTAGCCCTAGCCCTTGCTGGGAAACTCATTGTACAGCCACTAATTGTCTAGTTCCTGGGGAAGCTGGAGAGGTTGTGAGGGTTTCCTTCTTCCAGATTCTCTAAAGCCTTTAAGAAAGTGAGGTCAGCAGGCCAGTTTACCATTTCTCATTGTTTAAGTCATAGACACACCCGAGTACGCCTGTTGTGACTCAGGGATGACCTAAGTCACAGAGAACACTCCTTTGCTAACCACAAGTGCTGAGGGTGGTGCAGAAAAAAATAAACAAGCCAACTCCCCCAAACCTGTGTTTGGGTGTGAGGGAACCCACATGTATTTGAAGGCCAGAAGGCACCTTCTGGGTGTCCCCCTTAACTACTCCCCACTTCAGTTTTTGAGGCAGGCTTTCTCACTAAACTTGGAGATCACAAGTTGGCTAGTCTGTGTAGCCAGCAAGCTCCAGGTCCTCCTGTTCTCCACCTCTCCAGCCTGGGATTCCAGCCATGGCCCTGGAGGCCATCTTTCCCTTTTATGCTACGGAAGGTCTTCATCCTTGGGCAGCATTTTTACCAACTATGGCATCTCCCCAATATCGTCCTTCCCCCAAAGGAGGTATTTCTTAAATTTCCATGCACTATGGCTGAATTCTTTTTTTTTTTTTTTTTTCTGGCCCCTTTCCTATAGGTCATTTGACTCTTCCTAATTTCTGATAGACTAGGCTGATCTGTGAACTGAGTGGAAACTATTTTCTTACAGGTTTCTCTACCAAAGATTCTGCCTACTACTTCCTTTTAGAATTGTTATCTATGGCCCTGCAAATAGGCTAGTTAACTTTGGGCCCTCAGAGCCTGTGAAGCTAAAATAAGGCCAAAGGGGGGTGGGGAGGGCATAGGTAGGGAGGAAAAGGAGGACACTTGAAGGCAGAGGGAACAGATGTCTGCGCAGGAAGGCACAGCAAGCGTGTAACACTGCCTGGGAAGGGAAAAATGTGGCAGAGAGGTTGTGGCCAGATACCTCTAGCGGTCTCTGGTTAAAATCCAGAAGGAAGAATAGCAGGTTTTTGATAAGGGACAATGACAGGAAACTCAAAAGCGAGGTCTGGTGTATCCATTTCTGAAGCTTAGAGCGGTAACGCATGAAACGCAGGATGGGCGGGGGAGAGACACTGTTTTCTCAATGTTTCCTCTAATTTATGGGCACTAGGAATCCACCGAAGGGAAAACTGCACTCTGCTGCGCTCTCCACCGGCCTCCCCCGTGGGAGAGAGAGCGGGCGGGTGGAGTCCCCGCCTCGCCCCATCACGTGGCCAGAAGCGCCCTTTGCACGTGACCTCCCTTGCGCTAGGCCAATCAGCCTCCGCAGGGGCGGGGACTTGGGGGAAAAGAGAGCCTCTTCTCGCGAGCCTAGCCGCCGGAGCTCCTGGACCGCCCACGGCCGCCAGCGGAGGTCTCGCGAGGCTTGGGCGCTGCGGCGGTAGGAGGAGGACGGGGAAGGACGGAGCTCGGCCGAGGCGGCCTCCCTCACTCACTCCCTCGCGCGCTCGCCCGCCCCCTCCCTCCCTCCCCTCCCTTCCCTGGCCCCGGCCCCGGCCCATTCGCTGCGCGCTCTCCGGCTAGGGAGGATGTCGGGCTCTTCGCTCCCCAGCGCCCTGGCCCTCTCGCTCTTGCTGGTCTCTGGCTCGCTCCTCCCAGGGCCAGGTGCTGCTCAGAACGGTAAGCCGAGGGGCCGGGGGCGGGCCGGGCGGGGGCGCCGGGCTCCGGCAACCAGAGGGGCCGGGCCCAGGCCAGAGGGGGATGCCGGAGCCGGGAGCGGGCGGCCGGGCTGAAGCGAGGAGGTGCTTCGTCGAGAGTGGAGGCGTCGCTGTGGTGCGAGCCCGGGGCGCTGGAGACAGGTCCGCGGCGTGGGGCTCTGCGCTCGCTCACCAGGAGCTGGAGTAGCGGGGGCGGCTCTGGAGAAGGCGTTCGAGTTCGAGCCGGCGGAGGGGTGTTGGCGGCGAGAGAACCGGGTTCTGCAGGCACTGACACCTGGATTCTGTTGGGGCCCCGGAACCCTAGTGACATCCTGAAAAATGGGAGGAGGGGGAAGCTGGGTTGAAAAGGATCCCTAGAACACCTAGCGGGAGCCGACTACTTGAGTCTCTAAGAAGGTTTAAAGGTTTAGTAAGGGAATCGGGGAGCCTTGGATTTGGGGGTAGAGGGAAGGTGGGCGGAAAGATGATGGAGTGGGTTGACTGCAGTAGGGGACCTGGAAAAGAGAAGCAGCAGTGTCTCCAAAAGAGCTGGGGGAAGAGGGCTGGGTTTTGCCAAAGAGGGTGGAGTGCTGGGCATTCTAGGGTAGCGGTTGGGAAAGCAAAAGGGAGTTTCTAAATAAGGAGAGGAAAATGAACAGAGGATGGGGGAAAGCATTAAAACTGAGATAGAGGAAACATCAGAGCAGTAAAGGGTGCCTGGGTATAGAGGTGGGTGTTGGGGAAGACGAAAAATAAGGGAAGGGAGTAAAATGCAGGAAGTTGGGGGTGTAATGTTGCTTTGCAGCGTGGTGGATACATTAGGGAGGGGATGAGTTGTGGCAAATGCTGTATGATGTAGGTTCGGCCTTTGGGGAGGGCTGGGACACAGTCATATCTGCAGTGGTGGGTTTGAGGGCAGTTGAGTAATGGCAGGGTAATGGAGGAAGTGAGCTTTTGAGATCTAAAAGTTTCAAGACTGAAAAGATGTTATTTCTGAGGAATATGAATGTGGCCTCTGGGATGTGTTCAGGGTACAGTGGAAGTGGAAATTGGGTTTTGAACTGAAGCTTTTTAGAAAAGATGGTGAAACATAATAGGCATAGGGGAGCTAAACATGACAGATTCTCATTGAAAGCTCTGTCACAGTTCTGTTGCTGAACTGATCTTTCAGAAACAAACTTAAAAGGATAATGAACCTATTTCAGTTATTGTGAAAACAACTACTAAGAGGTTTAAAGATTTTTTTTTAACATGAAAAAATTATAGGAAGTTGGTTAGGGAAGGGAGACAAAATTATTTTAATCTCCGCATTCTTCGTTGTTAGGGTAAAACAATTACAAGTGCTCTTGTCTGAAATTAAAATGGCTTTCATTAAAACAAAATCACTCAGAGTCAGTGGAGTTGAGTGTTCTGAAGAGAAACGGACCTTAAAATGCTAGAGGTTACAGTGAAAATATATCACAGTATTGAAAAAAAAAACACTTTATCATTCTACTAAGGGAATTTTATGTCCTATGGGTTAGTTTCTTCATGGGTCATAAAGGAAACATTTTTCTGTCTCTTACATTGAATTTCCTAAGGATGTGGGCACCCCCCACCCCCTTTTCTTAAGTACACAGCTGTGGAAGGGAAATGGTAGAGTTAGCCTGACTTGCTTGCTCTGTCAGTCATTGATGTGATAACAATATGACTTGAGTCTAATTCTGATTTCAGTTATTTGTGGAAATAGCAGTTTCATTTTGTAGGTGAGAGATTCTTGATTGTAAATGTTTAATCTGTGCTGGCATAAGTTGTTTCTGATGATTTATAATACGGTAAATTGTAGTTTCTTAGCAACTAAGGCAAGGCTTTTGGATAGGCTTACAAAGATTCATCTGGCTGTTCTTGTGTTCTAAATACAGCATAGTACAGCCTTTCGCTTGAAATGAGCTTGGATCTAGTCACGTGACAAGACTTGTAAAGTGACTATGAGTCCATAGTTGACCCAAATGAATGTAAATTGAATTTAAGAAAGAAATGGTTACTTTTGAGTTTATATGGTTGATGGTGCCATTTTAAAACTTTCTGCAGTGTGTCTCAAGTGATAATAATCAAGCTTTCTGTTGATAATAGTCTTGCATTAGTCTGATTTCGTGTTCTAAAGGTTTTACTTTTTGTACAGTGTTTTAGAAAGAGATACCATGTCCTATATAATATTGGAATTTTAGACATACAGATTATTTAAAATAATGCTTTGGAAAATCAGTGTCAGAGTCACTGCTTCTGGATCGAAAATGTGGCAGTTTAGATTAAGAATATTGAACTTTTTGAAAAGGCTTCTGTTTTCATTAGTCTAGAATTTGGTCTAGATGACCCACAGCATCTCTTTTAATTCCAAAAGGAATCTGACTCATTACTATAGGGATTCAAGTAGACTTCATTTTCCATATAAATATTTAGATTTGTAAGACCTGTCCTTTTTTTTTTTGTATGTATGTATCACCCACCACCAATACAATTTTTAAGGCAAAAATTAAGATATTCAAAAGTGTTAGGTTAAAATTGAATATTAAATCGAGAAAGTATGATCTAGAGGCTAGGCTTTGAACACAGATACAGCTGTTTTTTTCTTTCTCTCTTTTTGCAGTGTTTGTGTGTGTGTGTGTGTGTGTGTGTGTGTGAGAGAGAGAGAGAGAGAGAGAGAGAGACTGTCTATTGTCTGTCTGTGGTTGGTCCTAGGGTTCAAACCTTTGTACATACTAGGCAAGCATGTTACCATTGAGCTATATCTCCTCACGAACTGGGTTTGAATTCTAATTCTGCAGCTCAGTGACTGAGTACGTGAAATGGGGATTACAGTGTTAGGGATGATGTAAAGATTAAATGAAGTAATGAGGCTAGTTGTATTTTAATTTGGCAATATTGCAAGTCTCAGTGTTAGCCATTACTATTACCCTTAAAAAGTAGCACAATTGTTCTTCTTGTGTGTATTAAACACTTGTTAAGGCTTTTGTCATCATGAATATAATAGGTCATTTGAAGGTTCCTTACAGAGATTTGTGCCAGCCATGTGGCTGCAATTGAAAGTTGCAGTGAGGAAGTTCTTATTTCCATTTGTTGTTTGGGAGATTTCATGACGTTCATTTCTCCTGACCCCCACCACCCCAGCAAATGAACACATTTTTGTAAGGTCAGGTGTTGCCTTTTCATACCACTGTTTTGAGAGAAGTAGAATGTAGTACCTGGAAGATACTCAAGAGCTTTACAGATATTAGCTGAATGAATGAGGGTGGATGAAGTGTAAAAATATAATATGTTCATCCTGAAACTTTATCAAATTTGATAAATAACTGTTCAGTAGGAGCAAATAGAGAATCTAATGACTTTTATTGTTAACAGCTGCATTTGAAGAAACTATTTTGTTAGGTGATTCTAGATATCTGTGAACATTATGCTTAAAACAATGTAGTATCTGTACTAGGTGATTCATGAATCTCTCAAGTGCTATTCACTTCACTTATTTGACAATTTGCTATTGACTATCTTCCCATTTAGGGTAAACTAAAATGAACAGCAGAAAAATAAACCCCATCAGTGTTAGCCATGGCACAATTAATATGACAAATGTTAAACATGATTCAAATATTATTTGATCAGAATAAGGAACCTGTCTGTGAATAAAGCTTTCCTAAAGAGATCATGTGTCTTTGATTTCTTCAAATGGAGCACCAGACACAAATTTGTCAGGGGTCTGGGAGGAAAGGCCATGTGACTACATTAGAACCTATTTCTTGGCTTGCTTTAAATAGTTATTGGGTCCATGTTAGAGAGACAGATTTTGGTGTGCATATGTTGGCAAACACAGAGCTTAACCTGTGAGTATGCCAAAGTTTAACAGACAATGAAAGAAAAATCCTTCAGTATAAATGTGCTCCACAGTTAATTTAGTTCCTACAATTTAAGGTTTGATTTTATTGTAGATCGAATTTTGCATGTATTTTATTTTTCTGAGAAATTAGACATAAGAAATTTCTTGCTCTTTTCAATATAGTTTTGCTGTGAAACATTTCCTTGTAGGCTTTAAGGCAGTGGTTTGTGGATAGCAACCCCTTTCGTAATCAAATCACCCTTTCACAGGGGTCACTGCATATTAGATGTCTTGCATATCAGATATTTACATTATGATTCATAACTGTAGTAAAATTACAGTTATAAAGTAGCAACATGAAAATAATTCTATGGTTGGGGGTCACCACAACATGAAGAACTGTATTAAAGGGTTGCAGCATTAAGACAGTTGAGAACCACTGCTCTAAGGTGATGTTACTGTACTATCATCATTTTAATTTTATTAAAAAATTTTTTTAGTGGTGGTGAGGTTAAATGTCATGCCTCACACATGCTAGGCAAACCCCTGATCTTATTTGTTATTTAAAATTTTTTGGGGGGGCTGGAAAGATGGTTCATCAGTTAAAAACACTAGCTCCTCTTCCAAAGGACCCAAGTTCAATTCTTAACACCCACATAACAACTCACAACTGTCTAACTACACAGTTCCAGGGGAGTTGGTATCCTCACACAGGCATACATGCAGGCAAAACCCCAGTGTACATAATAAGTAAATCTAAAAAAACTTACTTACACTTATTTAAGTGTGTGTGTTTCTGTTTATATGTGTGTGAGCATTCATCCCTTGGTACACCTGTGCAAGTCAGGGCAACCTTCAGAGTTAGTTTTCTAACTCTGTAGATATCTTGGGGATTGAACTCAGGTTGTCAGTTCTGGTGGTTTGGTGGCAATGCCTTTACCCTCTGAGCCATCTCCCAATGTTATTTTTTAAATAAGAGTGTAACAAAGTCAGGTGGTGGTAGTGCACACCTTTAAGCCTAGCACTCAGGAGTCAGAGGCCGGTGCATCTCTGACCAGGTCAGCCTGGTCTACAAACTATACAGAGAAACCCAGTTAAAATAGAGTTTAACTAGGCCTTCAAAGTTATGACTTAAA